ATCACTAGTCAGAATAACATACCAATCACTTCCAAAATTCACTGTGTGCCTTTTTAATTCCTCCTTCCTGCCCCTCTTCACCACCTCTGTCCCCAAGGCAATCACTGGTCTGTTTTCTGTCACCATACATTAGTTTGCATTTGCCAGAATTTTATACAAGTAGAATCATACAGAACATACTCCCTTTCTTCTAACTTCTTTCACTCAGCACTATTATTTTGAAATCCATCAATACTGTAGAATGTATCAAGTTTATTTCTTTTTACCACTGAAGAGTATTTTTATATATTTATATCACCTGCAATGAGCATTTGGAAATTTTCCAGTTTGGAGCTATCACAAAGAAATCTGATATGAACACTTATTTACAAGTCTTTGTATGGACATATGTTTTTGCACATATGGCATACAGATATCCAATTATCTAAAAGTGGATGGCAGGATCATATAGTAGGTGGCTGTTCAACATAAAAAACTATCAAATTGTTTGCAAAGAGGCTGCATCATTTAACATACCCACAAACAGTATAAGAGTGTTCCAGTCCCACCACATCCTTACCACCGTTGGTATGGCCAGTCCTTTTGACTTTTTTCATTCCAAACAGATGTGTTATCCCATTGTGGTTTTCATTTACATTTCCTATCAATTAAAGATGCTGAGCATCTTTTCATGTGTTTTTCATCTATATATTTCCATAGTGAGGTGTGATAGAATCTTTTGCTGATTTTTAAAATTGAGTATTTTATTATTAAGTTTGGACAGTTCTTTATATATTCTTGATTTATCAGATATCATTTTCAGATTTTTTTCCTAGCCTGTGATTTGCCTTTTCATTCTCTTAACAGTGTCTTTTAAAGAGCAGAAGCTTTTAATTTTTATAGAGTGATTTATCAATTTCTTTTTTTATGGATCATGCTTTTAGTGTCATATATAAGAAATCATTCCCTAATCCAACTTTTTCTTCTCAAAGTTTTATCATTTTGGGCTTTACATTTAGGTCTTTGATTCATTTTTACTTAATTATTATACACGGTTTGAAGTATGGGTTGAAGTTCATTTTAAGGCATATAGATATCCAACTGTTCCAGTACTGTTTGTTGAAAGGACAATCCTTTCTCCACACACACAAAAATGCCATTTTAACCTTGTGAAAAATCAGTTGTCCATATATGGATGTTCTGTCTTCTTTTTTGTCTCTATTCTATTCCATTAATTGTTTTCTTTTGATGTCAATACCACATTGTCTTAATTGCTGCAGCTTTATAAATCTTGAAGTCAGGTAGACTTCCAACTTTGTTGTTTTTCAAAAAAGCTGTTTTAGAATCGAATTTTTCTACGAATTTTAGAATCAGCTAGTCAGTTCCTACAAAAATTCTGACTGGGACTTTGCGAATGCTATGAATCTATAGATTACCTTGGGGAAAATTGACATTTTTAACAATATTGAGTCTACTGATCCATAAATAAGATATACAATCACCATTTATTTAGATTTCTTTTTTTTTTTTTTTTTTTTTGAGGCAGAGTCTTACTCTGTCACCAGGCCAGAGTGCGGTGGTGCAATCTCGGCTCACTACAACCTCCGCCTCCTGGGTTCAAGCGATTCTCCTGCCTCAGCCTCCCGCGTGGCTCGGACTACAGGCACGTACGACCATGTCCAGCTATTTTTTGTATTTTTAGTAGAAACGGGATTTCACCATGTTGGCCAGGATGGTCTCAATCTCTTGACCTTGTGATCCACCTACCTTGGCCTCCCAAAGTGCTGGAATTGTAGGCATGAGCCAGCACACCCAGCCTAGTTAAGATTTTTTATTTATCTTAATTACGTTTTAAAGTTTTCAGTTTTATTTATCTTAATTACGTTTTAAAGTTTTCAGCATACAGATCTTCCACATCTTTGTCAGATTTCCCCTTAAGTATTTAATATATTTGCTATTACTACAAATGGCATTTGTTGCTTTTTCAATTTCTAATCGTTCCTTGCTGTTACACAGAAACAACTTATTTTTGTACATTGAGCTTGCACCTTCAACCTTAGTTAACTCACTTCTTTGTTCTAGTAGCTAGAATATGTGACCTGTGAATAACGACAGTTTCACTTCTTCCTTTCTAATCTAGTTGACTTTTTAATCTCTGTTTCTTGCCTAATTGTGCTGCCTAGAAGCCTCAGATAAATGTTGAAAAGCAGTGGTAAGAGGGATGTCCTTGTCTTGTTTCTGATCTTAGGAGAAACTTAACATTCACCACTAAATATGATGTCAGCTTTGGTTTCTCTTAGACATTCTTTTTCAGGGATACTGACTTCTATCCCTAGTTTACTGAGACTTTTTAATCAGGAACAGATGTTGGATTCTGTCAAAGGCTTTCTCTGTATCCACTCTTATATGGCTTTTGTTTTTTACTTTCTTAATACGGTGAATTGTAATGATTGACTATTAAATGTTAAACTAACCTTGCATTTCTAGAATAAACTCTACTTGATCATGATATGTTAACTCTTTTTATATATTGCTGGATTCTATTTGCTAAAATTTAGTTTACAATTGTTACATCTATGTTCACGAATGATACTGCATTGTAGTTTCTTTGTCCGGTTTTGGTATCAAGCTAATGCTGGTTGTTTTAGGTTGGAGGGTAAATTAGTTCCCTGTTATTCCACCTTAGCCAGAAGTATTCTGCTAAATGTTATTATCACATCTATTCCTTCCTAGCTTAGAAGGTACATATTATTACCATCATTTTATATACAGGAGAAATGAGAAATGGGAAATGTGGAGAAACTGAGGCTCAGAGAACAAGGGGGTACAGCTCTTTCTAGCTCGAAAAAGGGTTTGAATTAAGACAGTAGGAATCTAAAACCCACTCTCAACCTCCTACTATCTTGTAATACTTAAACAGTATTCAAAAAGATTCTCCTTAAACACATAATTTTTTTTCATTAAGAAATTATATCTCTAAAAGATCCAAGTAGTCTAATCTGAAACCTATGTCTTAATCACTATGGTATCTGTTGAAAAAAAAATGAATGTGATGTCATAGTTTCTTACATTTCGAGTCAAGATCTACATAAACTATTAACTACTGAATATACTGAAAACATTACTTAAGAAAAGACAGATGTAATCCAGCTTTGAAGAGCCTTATAAGGATATTCCACAGTCCCAAAAGGCCAACCAAAACAATAACAATAGATGTTACCATTTTAAAATTTTATGTAATCTTCAAAACACATAGTGAAATAAGCACTATTATACATATTTTATAGAGGAAATGTGAGACACAACAACATTAAGAAACTTGCTTTAAGTCTGCCATCTCTGAAGTAGCAGAACAGGTATTCAAACTCAAGTCTCTACAACTCCAGAATAGATTCTTAAAATTTGTATTTTAAGTTTCGTTTGTTTGGTTTTCAATTACAATGTTGTCAACCCTAAGAACAAGAAGTGCTGCCAAAGGCCTTTTAGGGAACTAGGAAATTCCAACATTAGACTGGAGCAGAGCTTAGTGCCAAATATACTGGAGCTAAACTTTGATGGTAATGCTGGCAAGCTGGGGTTTCCCAATCTCTGACTAGATTAAACCTGCTTTGCTTCATTTCTACAGCAAGTTTTTTTTGGTTTTTGTTTTTTAAAAAACGAGCTGTGAAGACTGGCATGGTGGCATACATCTGTAGTCCCATCTACTCAAGAGGCTAAGGGATGATTATTTGAGCATAGGAGTTTGAAGCCAGCCTGGGCAAAATAGCAGCCAGCTTTTTCTTTACTTTCTGTTTTGTTTTGTTTGAGACAGGGTCTCACTCTGTAACCATGGTGATCCCGGGAATCACCTCACCCTCCCAAGTAGCTAAACTACAGGTGCACGCCACCATGCTCAGCTAATTTTTTGTATTTTTTATAGAGATGGGGTTTTGCCATGTTGCCCAGGCTGTGTCTCTCAGCATTTCTATATTTCTGATGACCTACAGTGGGCACAGCATAATGAGCTTGGACCACTAGCTATTGGCTATAATGCAGAATTCCACTTAAGAGTAAGATGGGAGGGTAAAGAGAAAGAATAATTGCTATTCAAATAATTCCAGTCATGAGGCAAGATGGTATAGGAATAAAGAGCCTGGACCCAAGGAAATTGCCAAGGTTCAAATGCTTATCTGCCTCACAGTAGTTGTGAGATCTTGCAAAACTTATTTAACTTCTCTGTGTTTTCATGCCTTCATCTATAAGATAGGGGTGATCATTTTACCTCTCATACAGCTAACAATTAAAAGACAGAATACATACAAATTGTTTAGACTAGCACCTGACACTTGGTAGGTCCTGTTTAAATTTTGCTATCAATTTATCAATTGTTGTTATTCCTATAGTAAATAAGAAAAAAATTACATATGTTTCATAGGCACTTTAGAGATTCCTTAGTAAAAATAACTTTAATGTTTCTAATGGCAATATATTTAAAAACACAGTCCTAGAAATGTGGCATATCTATATTAGTGTACTAAAAATGGCTTTGGAAACTGATTTCCAGCATCTTCTAAAAGCAAACAATTTTAAAAACATTAGCAGAGAAAATTGGACATAAGTCATTAAAATAAAGTAAATTACTCAATTCCACTAAAGTAGAATTGAACATCTACTATGTGTTCAGCGTTATGCAATCTTGATTAAAGGGCATACAAAATCTAGACGTGTTCCAAATAAGCTTAAAATATAATACATAAATACAAATACAGAAACAAAAATGTATACCTAAAAGATAATAAGGCAAAGTGTAAGTAAATGTGAGAGTAGCACATAACTCTGGAAGAAATTCTCAAGTACCATTAAAATATATGAGTTTAGTTTTCAGAATAAAAAAAGCATCTGTGTGTATGTTTAGTACCATTCTTAATGCTAGCGTCAAAAACAAGTTCAAATGACTGGTATTTTATATTATAAATTATTAAGGAATTACTTGAACAACAACAAAAAAAGAGGGTTATTTGATGATTTTCATTGTAACTTACTGTTGCTATTCTGGCCTGGAGAAAGTTCTCCCTTTCTTCATCTACCTTAATTTCAAGTCCATTTTTAAAAAATTCAATCATTTTGGGGATGTCACGGCCAATGGAATCTAGTTAGAAAAAGTAAAATCCACAATTATCACTCCAAATAAGTAGTAAAAATTACTGAATAAAAGAAACACATATCTCATGTGAAGATACAGCAAATAAGTTGTGGCAGACAGACTTAAGTTCCAAAGAGCTCTATTTCCTGGCATTCATTCTCTTGTGTGATCTCCTCCCACTGAGTGTGAATAAAAGTTGCAACTTGCTTCAAACCAAGAGATAGAATGATCATGTGTACACAATTACATTACATAAAGCTATAATGCCTGTCTTGGAGAAGACTCTCTTCCTTACTGGCTTTGAAGAAACAAGCTGCAATGCTATCAACTGCCATATAGAGAGGGCCACAGGACAATAAGCTGAGAGCAGTCTCAAGCTAACAGCCAGCAAGAAACCGAAACTCTGTGTCCAGTACCCTACAGGAACTGAATTCTACCAAGTGTGTAAGTCTGGACGCGAACCCATCACCCATCGAGTCTCAGATGAAATCACTTCTCTGGCCAACACCTTGAGTGGAGTTTTGTGAGACATTAAGCAGAAAACTCAACTAAGCTACACATACAGTCCTGACACACAGAAATGGTGAGATATTAAATGTGTGTTGTTTCAAGCAACTGTTTGTGGTAATGTTGCTGCACCATTATGGATAATACATAAGTATATGCAATAATGATATATGGTATATCTTAAAAACAAAGATGACATATTAATATAAAGTCTATAAAATAATCTATGGCAAAAGATAACAATGGTTGGGTGCAATGGTTCATGCCTGTAATCCCAGTGCTTTGGGAGGCCAAGGTGGACAGATCACCTGAGGTCAGGAGTTCAAGACAAGCCTGGCCAACATGGTGAAACCCCGTCTCTACTAAAAATACAAAAATGAGCTGGGCATGGGGGCGCACACCTGTAATCCCAGCTACTTGGGAGGCTGAGGCAAGAGCATCACTTGAACCCAGGAGGCAGAGATTGCAGTGAGCTGAGATCATGCCACTGTACTCCAACATTGGCAGCAGGGTGAGACTATGTGAAAAAAAAAAAAAAAAAAGACAGTACAGTCTTAAATCTTTCAGGAACCTTTTATCCACCATACATAAGTGGAAAAAAAAAATACTAGAAAGCAGAAACATTTAACAGTGGAAACAGTATCATACAGAATGATACAGTCTGGAGATAGCTCATTCCTACACAAATGGTTATAAAAAGTGGCTTGGGGCCGGGTGTGGTGGCTCATGCCTGTTAATACCAGCATTTTGGGAAGTCAAGGCGGGTGGATCACTTGAGATCAGGAGTTGAAGATCAGCCTGGACAACATGGCAAAACCCGGTCTACTAAAAATACAAAAATTAGTCAGGCATGGTGGCAGGCACCTGTAATCCCAGCTACTCAAGAGGCTGAGGCAGGAGAATTGCTTGAACCTAGGAGACAGAGGTTGCAGTGAGCCAAGACCAAGCCACTGCACTCCAGCCTGGGTGACAGGGCGAGACTCTGTCTCAAAAAGAAAAAAAATAAAGAAAGGAACAGGCATGGTGGCTCACGCCTGTAATCCCAGCACTTTGGGAGGCACAGGCAGGCAGATTACTTGAGGTTGGGTGCTCAAGACATGGCCAACACGGCGAAACCCCATCTCTACTAAAAATACAAAAACTAGCTGGGTGTGATAATGCATGCCTGTAATCCCTGCTACTTGAGTGGCTAAGGCAGAAGGATAGCTTGAATCCAGAAGGCAGAGGTTGTAGTGAGCCAAGATCACGCCACTCCACTCCAGCCTGGGAAAGAGAGCTAGACTCCATCAAAAAAAAAAAAAAAAAAAGGAAAGAAAAGAGAAAGACAAGGGGAAGGGGAAGGAGAAGGGGAAGGAAGGGAAAGGAAGGGGAAAGGGAAAGGGAAGGGGAGGGGGAAGGGGAAGGAAGGGAAAGGAAAGAAGAGGGAAGGGGAAGGAAAGCGGAAGAAACTGGCATGAGAAAATAATTAAAAATTGAAACCATTTATTGGATTCTAATGTCATCTTGTCCTCCATTAGGGTAGAGAAAGGAATGCAACTAAATATAGTAAGGAAAAAAATGGAATAGGGATAAAAATTAAAAATCTTCAAAGGATCATACACGAGACTACAAAAATAAACTATTACTCTCCTAAGACTTAGTCGACTATTACCATTTTAACACAAATTTAATAAAAAAAAATATGGTATATTTCACTATGCCATAACTTAACTTGAAAACTTAATTCCAGGCACAGAAAAATGTGAATTATTTAAAGGGTAAGAAATACAATGAAGACTGTGCCACTGAAGAGACACCACTCCCACCATGCTCAAGCAAGTCTTCCCTAGATGAGCCAATGTGAGGAACTCATTACGTGGAGAGCTCCGCATACCCTCAGCATATATTATTCCTAGGTGTAGCTGAGGAGTTGTTCAGTTGGCTCAGGAGCACTATAGCTATAAGTAAAAGCAACCACCCATGGGCAGTTTACAATCTAATTGGGAGATAATGAATGTACAAATGAATAATTACTAAAAGAAACAAAGTTTTTTCAGTATCACAGTTTGATGTAACTGAGTACTAAACAGTATGACAAAATTGTATACTAGTAAACAGTAAGATGCTAATATTGGTATACAAAAAACAAATAGCTGGTTAAACCATCTATATCTCTATTTAAATTTCTTAATTTTTTTTAAAGTTTGTCTTCATAAGAACAGTACCTTGTACATACTAAAAGCTCAAAAATTATTCAGTGACTGACCTAAATCTAAGCCCACAACACTTCCTGCCTTCCTGTCACTATGGGTGAACTGTCTATGCCCCTAACAAAGGCCATTCCTCTTCATTTATGTGATCAACCTCATTTCTACTCAACCATAAAAGGACACTGCTCCTCCCTTCTTTCCTCTATATTGTTGATTTTCCCTGCTACCCTAGATAATCTTCATTAGCTTACAAATTTGCTACAAAATCTCCCTTTTCAAAATAAAATAAACAAGTCTCCTATGTTGCCTTCCAATTACCACTCAACATTTCTCTTAAGAACATAAGATCTTAAAAAAAAAAAAAGTCATCCCTACTTCCTCTCCTTTTATTTTCTTATACCTACTTCAGTAACCTTCACATTGGCAAATTCAGTAGTCATTTCTCAATGTTCCTCTGACTTGACCTATCAGCAGCAGTTCACAGAGTAATCTGTCTTCTTCCTATAGTATCTTGACTTGTCCTCTGAAACACGATTCTCACTGGCTATTTCATCTCATTTTAAGGGCTGAGCCACCCACCCTCACTTAGTTGCCTTCCAAAGGCTGAACTACTTCAGGGATCAATCATCTGACTTCTCTTATCCTATCCATGCACACCTCCCTAACTGACCTCATGCAGACACATGGATTTAAAAACCATCTATCCACTGATACATGCTAAATTTATATCTCTAACCACAATCTCTCATGATTTCCAACCACCAACTTTGTATCTCCACCTAGATGCAGGCAAGTTATTGGTAAGTAGTCAAATTGACAAATGTCTCCTGGAAGAAAAAGGACTTCATAATTTTGATCCTGATACCAGACTGACGACGTAATGGTAATGAAGAGAGAAAGAACAGGGCTCAAGAAGAAAAGAGAAATCGTTCTGTATTAAAACATACTGAAGTATAATCCCAGCACTTTGGGAGGCTGATGTGGGTGGATCACCTGAGGTCAAGAGTTCGAGATCAGCCTGCCCAACACAGTGAAACACCATCTCTACTAAAAATACAAAAAAATTAGCTGGGCGTGGTGGCAGGCACCTATAATCCCAGCTACTCAGGAGGCTGAGGATTGCCTGAACCCAGGAGGTGGAGGTTGCAGTGAGCCAAGATCACACCATTGCACTCCAGCCTGGGTAACAAGACTGAAACTATGTCTTAAAAAGAAAAAATACTTAAGTGAAGGTCTGAAGGAATATCAAAAAATGTATATATTTGTGTAGTTAGAAAAAGGAACTAGAAAAGGTGAGAGACTGAAGATGATGTAGATTTTAGTTTTTATGATAGTTCCATCCTAAAACAAACACAAATAAAACTTCCTTCCTTTGACCTTATATACTCCTTCTTCTGTATCTAATTTGCATCTCCCCAATAACCAAGATGTTTAGTATTAATTCATCTGTTTAAAGGCCAATTACATTTTTTTTTTTTTTTTTTTTGAGATGGAGTCTCGTTCTGTCACCCAGGCTGAAGCGCAGTGGCATGATCTCGACTCACTGCAACCTCTGCCTCCTAGGTTCAAGTAATTCTCCTGCCTCAGCCTCCTAAACAGCTGAGATTACAGGAACACACCACTGCATCCAGCTAACTTTCGTATTTTTAGTAGAGACAGGGTTTCACCATGTTGGCCAGGCTGATCTCAAACTCCTGACCTCGGGTGATCCACCTGCCTCAGCCTCCCAAAGTGCTGGGATTACAGGCATGAGCCACCATGCCTGACCACATATATTCTTTTGTACAATACCTACTCAACTCTTTTGCCCCCTTTAAAAAAAAATTAGGTTGGCAGTTTTACTGAGTTATGACTTCTTTATATATTATGGATACAGGTTCTTGGTCAAAGCTATGTGTGGCAAATATTTTCCCCTAATCTGTGACTTGCCTTTTCATTTTCTTAGGGGTAACCACTCATGAGCAAAATTTTTTCATTTTGATGAAGTCCAAATTAGCAATTTTTTCTTCTATAGCTCATGCTTTTTGTGCCCTAAGAAATATTTACTTAATCCAAGGCCATGAAGATTTTCTCCTAGAAATTTTTCTTCTAGAATTTCATGACTTTATCTTTTACATTTAGGGCTATGATCCATTTTGGATTATTTTCTGTGTTATGTAAGGAAAAGAATTATTCAGTTATTTCAGCACAATTCATTGAAAAAATTATCCTTTTTCCACATAACCGTGATACCTTTGCTGAAAATCAGTTGATCATATAAGTTTAGGTTCATTTCCGAACCTTCAGTGTTTTATCCACAGTCATTTACCC